TGTGTTCTACTGAAGAAACAAAGTCACCTACATCTTGGATGCCCTAAGCAGATAAACATAAAATTTTCATTTTTGGGTGAACTATCCCTTTAAAGTTCATAAATGCAGCGCTGCTTTTTTTACAGCGGTAACCAAGGAAACACTGTATCATTGCTGTTCATAAATGCAGCAGCGGTAACCAAGGAAACGCTTTAAGCGCCACCTGCTGGCAGAGAGTGAATCTGCGTCTCGTTCAGCTCGTCTGCCGTTTCTGTTTCATGCAGATATTTTTATGTATAGTTTCACAAAACTGAAGTCAGACCATTCTGTTTTTGCTTCAAATTTCGAAATTATACAATCTAATTTAGATTTAAAAACTGCTCATGTTGCATGTATGCAGCATCTTTGTTTGGATCATGATTAAAATGCAGTGGTTGCCTCTAATTATAAATGGAAAGAGCACAGACAAAGCCTTAGTTTGTTTATATGAAGATATGTCTTTTATTTGTGTTTTTTATTTGATTTGGGGCTTGTTTTAAAATGTCAATTTAGTTTTGTTATTTACATTTACATTATATTTAATAGCAATATTTTTTTAATAGTCATTTAGCAGACACTTTTATCCAAAGTGACTTACAAATGAGGACAATAGAAGCAATCAAAACCAACAAAAGAGCAATAATATGCAGGTGCTAAATTAGTATATTGTTACAGTGTTACATTTCAATTTCACAAAGAAATGTGCAGCATTTTGTCCAAGCAATAATAAAAGGACACATTTAATTTATAATTTGTCTTAAATCTAATTTTGTAAAAAAAATAACTAAAAAAAATTGTGAATCGAATCGTGAAATCAAAATCGTGAATCGAATCGAATCGTGAGTTGAGTGAATCGTTACATCCCTGATAGATAGATAGATAGATAGATATATAGATGACCTAATGGTCTAATGACCATTTTATGTCAACGTGTTGTTGACAAATAATATATATTGTGTAATACATACATATATTACACAAAGCCACTTCACTTTTAACTTTTACTTTATCATAATTAAAATAAATTGATTTTGTTGTTGTTTGTTTGTTTTTGTTTTGTTTTATATGGATTTTCATATTTTAAGACTGAAACTTGATCTTGTAAAAAGGGTGAAACAAAATAAACAATATATAAAGACATTTGAAAAGTATCATATGAATGATACCATTGTAAACAGTTTTCTTAGACCGTTTTAGAGTCTTTATACAGCAAAAGAAAAAATGTTTTAATAAAAACTAATGCCGTGGGCCATAAAAGTGCCTGTAAACACCCATTTATGACTTCAAAACTTCTGCGTAGGAACTTTTCTGGACATCTTGAAGGCAGAAATACACAATACAAATATGTGATTGTTTGCTAAAGCACTGGTTCTCTGAAAATGTTTGCTCCAAAGAGTGTATGTTCCTTGACAACTAAACTGCAGTAGAGCCCTCCAGAAATTATAGCTCAAATCTTTAATAGAAATATGAAGAGGATTCAACTCCTGACCTCTGCTGTGGTGGCTCCTATCTTACAGACAACGGAAACTCAGATTTGTCTTTTTCTTTACTGCAAGGCGAAGTTGCAGGTTTAAAATGACCTTGATACGCAAGTCTGAATCTAAATGCAAATACAAAACCACAGATAACAAATTGGATGTCTGAAGTTGAGGTAGACAGTCAGAGGTCAAACAGTTGATTTATTTACAACATGTTCTCATTCTTTTTTTCTTGAAATAGTGGTGAACCTAGCAAACCCTTTGGTAATTTCAGAAATTAAGAATGTGTGTTTAGGTTCCTCTAAACCCTCATATTTCTTTATTTTGGCATTTCTCCCAGCTTCTTCAGTCCATACGTGTGACGACGGCCATTTCGCGTGTCCCAGTGGAAACTGCATCTCCAGCGTCTGGATGTGCGATGGACAGAAAGACTGCGAGGACGGAGCGGATGAATTTCAATGCGGTGAGCGCCACCTTTCTGCATTTATCAACTAATCATGCCTGCTGGACACATCGCTCTAGATGTCATACTAATGAATTTATTCACGTCTAAAGACTTTATTTATCTTCTAGTCACGCATGACCATCTACATTAGAACGTAAGTGCTATTTTGCTCTGATCCACTTGTCATGACTAGTATGTGGTAAGTGCTAAATGGGAGAGTTTAGCTGCTTGACATTCCTGGCTTTACAGTGTTAAGGCCCGTTCACACCAAGAACGATAACTATAAAGATAA